GGTGTGATCAAAAATAAACAATCAAGAAGAGTTCTTTACTTTTCACATTAGTTTTGTTTCCTACTTTAATGCAGTCTGCATATGGAACTTCATAATGGTCATTTCTATCATCTCTGCTATCCAATATTTCTATTAATCAATTCTCACAAATATATCCAACTTTATTATTTAATACTTATCTGTAGTTTCTCATTCCAATCAGTTACGAATATCTTGCTTGGAATCTCAGTTTGTTATGTCAGTATTTTAAGTGGAAATCTTTTAGCTAGACAGTGTGATACTGTGTGTGTCAAGGTTGCCATCTCGGGGCCATCAGGCTGTTTCGATCAACATGTACACTTCAGGGAGAATGGGCAGTGTTTTAAAAAGGTCATGTGTCAAATGTGGTGACCACAAGGACTCCTGTGATCCGCTGCTACCCCAGATGCTGCACTAATTAGCCAGATGCTGAATGTCAGAAATGGGTTTTTATCAATGAAATCAGAAGCTTCCTAATGAGCATTATGTTAGAAATGGGCTCTCATTACTGAAATGTAAATTATTTAAGATATGACGATTAGCTAAAATATTTAGAGACACTCTTACTTTTCATGGAAGAGTTTTAGTTTCTTGTGAGTCCGGCAGCCTGTACCTTTAGAAGCGGCACCTACAGCCTTGATCCCTAACGTGTCCAGTCACTGGCTCAGGAATTGTGATGGCCTGATGCCAGTCATAATGGAAATGGATTTCTGCTGCTGGTATGTTGCCTTGTCTGCCTCAAATGAAACTGCTGGGAAGCCTAAAAGGACAGAATGGTGGGTGTTGTCAAGTCTACAAAACAGGTCACATGAAATGTTCTGTGCCTGCTTCAGTGAATGTGGCAAATTTCTGCATACATGGAAAGACTTGGTCTGAATTTTGTATTCTTTATAATCTACTCAGGCAGAATAGTATACGCCTCTTGAGAAGAACCCATGAACCAATATATCCAAATTGGTTTAGGTCAGTATACAATGAAAATTTGTATATTAATTTCTAATGCAATAATATGAAGTCTGGACTACCACAAATCCTACAACAGATGTTTAATTCATGAATATTTATGGAACCCAGACATTATATTTCATGTCAGGTTCCCAGGGCACTACGCTTTATGAAGGAAAATACAGTAGTTATTCCGATAAAGCAAACCTGGAGAATGTGAAAATTTTCATAATCTTATCTCCCAAAGGTAACAACCATTACCTTTTTAAATGCATTTTGTAGTTTTTCAGTCCAGTTTTTAATGTAAATACTGTATTTTATGTGTATAATCTGCCTTTCTCTCCATGTAATGTGTTATAAATATTTATACATTATAGTGTTGCTTTTATCTTAATGAACAGGAGATACATTTTTTAAAAAGACCAATTGTGAGGGTAATAGGGATTCTTAACTTTCTGACTTTCATTTGATTGCATTTAATAATGCCTCATTATTAATTGTGATATGGCTATTGATTTGAGCTATTCTATTTTTAATTTACTAAGAATTTATATATGTAATTATATTCATTAAATATATTAAAACAGTTATATATTATCTCAGAAATGAATAATGAATTCTCTCATATGTAATTTCAGCACCTACTGGGATTATCACCTGATATTGGTGATTACTAACCCTTCCTATCTGAATTAAAATCAGATAAGCATAGAGCATAAGCAAGTGAAGTGAGTCAGGAAGTAGGCAGGATTAAGTGTGCTGCTCCCAGGATTTGGAAGGCTGAGGCAGGAGCATCATCTTGAGTTGGAGGCCAGTAAGGACTACACAGTAGGTTCGGGACAGCCTGAATTGAACTTCCCGAGACCCTGTCTTGGGGAAAAAAATAAGAAGTAGGTGGGATCATGGCAAACTGAAGACTGATGCCCCACATGGGTTGCGTAGCAGCTACTCAGCACTGAGTTATATGAAAATGTTGCCTGTTTGTTAATTTTTAAAGAAATAAATTATTTTAACAAAATGTCTCAATTTTGTAATACTTTATGTTCTCTTCCTCCAGGAAAAGAGCATTATACTCTTTAAACTGGAAAGGTAGTAACGTGACCAGATTTGTTTCAAGTGTTTTTCAGAAACATAGAGTTGGATTTTATTATTAAACACATCTGTAGACTTGAATTTAATGAGAGCTGATAATGTTTCATTGGGACTTTTACTCATCTGCTTTATGCAGGGTTTCATCCTTTGTTATTTTATCTTCCTAATTATCTATATTTCCCTCCTGCCACACTCATTACATATTCAAAAGATAGACATAATCTTAAATTTTACTACAGTACCTTAAAGTTTTAAAAATTTATGTAATCTATGTTTTAAAAATATGACTTTCAGTAAAATAAGGAATTTATTATACTTTAATTTTTTAACATTTTATCTTTCTATAATCCAGTTTTTATTTATAAGGAGTTTAAAACTTGTTTTTATTAAATTTTCCTCATATTATGCTTCTCTTTCAAAATTTGTGATACTTTCATTCTATTTTTATAGTTATATATCAGGATTATTGACAAGATTTTTATAGTCTTGTTTCTAATTCTTTTGTAATGGACTTATTCACATATTCTGTATTTTTAAAATTCATCTCTCACCTGAAAAAGCCTTTGAAAATTTTTCCAAGAAGGATATATAGGTGATTTACATCAATTAATGTCTTCACAAATAAAGTTAATGGTAACTAAAATAAATATAAGCATTTTCTATGTTAAAACTCTTTAGATGCCAATCTTTTAAGTATCTTTAAAATTTAAAGTCTTAAAAAGACTGGATTTTGTGTTTTGATAAGTTGCTATATATTTTATTTCTTTTGAAGTTTCTGTTGGATTCAAAATGACTGGAAAAATACTCAGTTGGATACTTTCAGGTGATAGTTGCTTTTTGGTATTTTATGCTGGCATATCCTGAATCAATCTTTCTCCCCCCCCACCTTGTCTCTCTCTATCTCTGTCTCCAAACCCTCCCCCCCCCCCCCCGGGTATTTCCAGCTAAGGGAAGTAAGGAAAGAGAAAAATAATTTTGTAGACTTGAAGCCCTGTTACCCATTATGGTCCCCAAAGCTTCAGAGGAAATTTTCTCCCATGATAGTATTCTCTGGCCTATATTGTTCTTAAGGACACCAAAAAAGTGAGATAGGAAGCCTGCTTCTACCCTAACAAGTATTTTTGATCACTTTCTGCCTTTAGTATTCTTATTGCCCTTCCTCGATGTACCAGGTCAGCTGTATTAGCTTTCTGCTAGGTGGCCCTGCATAGACCTACAGGCCTCACTCCTCTCTCAGCATGTATATGGATAAAGGTGAGTACTTATATACATGCATATAAATGTGTATAGGAAATAGGTCATTTATATCAATGAATCTCTTCACAAATACGGTTAACTGGGGATTAAACTGTTTGCTTTTTAAGATCCAACTATTTTACTGTGAAGTAAGGGCATTCTCATTTCATATTCAGATCTTGTTTTGTAGCTAAGATGTATGATTCATTTCTCCATGACCATATCTTGTTCTCAGTACCTTAGCTACGTTCTGTTTTCTGTGGCTGCTTTTTCCATCTTACCTTTCAAAATGTTACAGGCAACTGAGTTAGCTAGAAATATTATAGGCAGTCAGTCGGGACTGGGCCTTTGAAGCTGCCTTATAACCCTAGGGGTGACAGACACCTCCTGCCTCCTGCACGGGCCAAACTTTAAGACAAAAGACAGGGAGCTAGGGATTTAGCTCAGCGGCATAAGCCCCGGCCTTGCAAGTGTGTGGTCGTGAGTTCATCCCCAGTACCAATTAAAAAAAAAAGACGAAAGATCAAAGAAATGCACCCACATCCTAAAGATAAACATCAGGGATTGATATTCTAAATAGGTCTCTATCACCTTGAGGAAGCCAGAAGGAGCCACTCACCCAATCCCTGGGCAAAAGCACTGTTCTGTGTGCTTGCTTCCCCATCTGTCTCTGATTTAATCCATTTTACCTGAGCAATTGTCTTATTGGTTAACTATAATCCTGTCTCACCTCATGCCCACCATGCAAATTCCCGTGTTTTCCCCAACTTGGACCTGCCTCATCTTGGGGTTTTGCTCTTTAAAAGTCCCTAGAAAAGATAGAGTCTTTGACAACTCACTTGGGACCCCTTCTGCCTCCCTCTCAGACAAAAGCTTTCTTTCTCCCAATAAATATAGTCTGGTCTTAACTTCTGCTGTTCCTAAAATTCATTCTTTGGCTGGGGATTTAGCTCAGCAGCATAAGTGCCTGCCTGGCAAGTATAAGAGTGTGAGTTTGATTCCCGGTACTGGAGAAAACAACAAAAAAAATCCTAAAACTCATTCTTTGATTTTAGATAACATGAACTTGTATTGGACATCTAGAATGTTGGGAGTTTCTTTTTCCAATATCAAAAAGACTACCCTCATTTCAAGAATCAGCCTCGTTTCAAGAATCATGACTTTTTCTGGATTAGATCTGCCAGAAACATTTCCTCTTTACTTCAAATTCTCTTTACTTCAGATTCTCAAGGTTCATTTTACTTGTACTCTAAACTTTTGCTATACTTTTCTTATCCTTGCTGCTGGACTTTGCTGCACAAATGGCAGGGACTAGGTCTCATCATCTTTGAATCTCTCATAACAAGATAAAACAAGAGCTATCAGCAGGAGCTACCAGGAGCTTGTTTTGTTTTATTTTGTTGAGATGCTGGAAATTGAATCAGGACCTTACACTGAGCTATACTCGTAGCCCTTTTTATATTTTTTATTTTGAGGCAGCTAAATTGCTAAATTGATCAGGTTGAAATCTAACTTGAAATCTTTTTACTTCAGCCTCCCAGAGTTCTGTGATTACAAAACAAAGTAAGTTCCTGATAGCCCTTGCATGTAAGAGTTCATGTTGCAAAATTACAGAACACTAAATTGCTTTTTAGAGAACAAAATGTGTCAATTTGAAGACCCAGAAGATACAAAGTTTACCTTAGAAGCTCTCATTCTAGAACTGTTACCTGAACTGTTCCTTTAATAAGTGAAGAAATTCCTTTATTTCATTCATATGACCGAAGCTGGGAAGGTGTGCTCCAAGAGCTTGGCAGAATCTTTCAGCTTCTTCCCAGTTCCTCTTCCTTATAATTCTTTCTACATGAAATACCTTAACAAAACAGAAATTAGATTTTTTCTGCAAAATCATAAAGCATAGTCTAAGGTCAATGATAGTCAGTTGTGTGAGCCCTTAGGGTTTTGCATTGGCATAATGAAGGCAAAGGTAAATGCACATATACATTTAGACACAGATATATACTGCTTAAAGTGTCACTGAAGGCCTACATAGGTGTCCCACAGTTGTCAGATGGATGGGCTTCTGTTACAATTGATACCTTGTTCAACTTGAGAAGTTTAGAATCTTAGCTAAGTAACTCAGCAGTTCTATAAACTAGATAACATGGCCTAGGGCAGCTGTTTATGCTCCAGGATGTTGCAGTGGTTGATTTATTGTGTTGACTTGAGAAGTTTAGAAGTTTAAGTAAATCAGCTGAGGGCCAGGGTCCTTATTTTGTAAACATCCTGAGCCTGTGTAAGAGGAAGACAAAGAGATGATGTTAATGCTACACGTGCCCTAGTGTGGGTAGCCTAATAAGGGAGGAAAGAGGCTGGTTTGATCTCATCAAGAAAAGAGAAGACAATACAAGACAGACATGACAAGCTCTTCATAGCTACTGCTCCTTCAGCAGAGACTTACAGTGAACAGAAACAGATCCAAAATCACAGTCTGGCACCAGCTGAGGTGATCTGCAGCTGGATGCAGAGTTGACCATTCAAACTCAATTAGTCAAACCCTAGCTGACCTGGAGATCTGTGAACTCGAGGCTTATCATCATCGTTCCTGAGATTTGGGGTGGTATCTAATGGTTTGTATGTGAGAGTAACTGATTGATGCTAACTCCAAATTACATTTCTTTGTATGATATGAAGCAATGACATTCTTAATTTGGCAACATACACTAGAGGGACATAAGAATCATAAGCATGGGGTCGGCATGGCATGCAGCTCGCTCAGATTACCAGAAGGAAAGAATATGAGAAGAAGCCATTTCTGGCTCTGATTCTATTCCTGTAGGTGGAACGCATGCAGGGTGTGGTGCTGAGCTGCCTGACATAACAAGTATATGATGTTCTGCCAAGGACTCTGCTCCCAAACATTTGTTAGGTTATATAGGTCTATGGGAGGAGCATACTTTTTTTTTTTTTTTTTTTTTGGTCTTTTTCCTTTTTATTGGTACCGGGGATCGAACTCACAACTGCCTGCTTGCAAGGCAGGCGCTTATGCCACTGAGCTAAATCCCCAGCCCCTAGGAGTATACTTTGTATAAGCACATCAACCAGGATGGCACAAAGAGACCTCCACTGAAAGACTGAACTCTCTGATACTTTACCTTATAACAAGAAAAACTGGAAGGGAAAGTATGCCAGCCTTCAGGACAAGGGCCATCGGGCTTGGGGGCCGCTTCTTCAGGTTCCAGGGGTTTACTTATTTTCTTGCAGATTGAAAGTGCTCTGAAGTTTTTACAGTCTTTCACTTCCCACTTGCCAAGAGACTTTCCAGGAGACATAGCCACACACCCACCTGGAGATGCTAGGGTTGAGTTGGAAAATTTCATTAGAAATTAAAATTTTAAACCGAAGTTTGAACGTTTTCTAATGTTAACTTCTTCTCTTTACTTGAAGCAAGGTGGGAAAGAGATTAGGAAAAACAATGGAAGAAAGAGAGAAAATAAATCTGTTGTTCAGAATAATGATGATGATGGGTATTACAGAAAAGTGTTTACTACGTGTCAGGTACTTTCTAAGGGATTAAGTTAACCCCTCAAACAGTCTATAGGGTGTCTTCTGTGGACGTAACTGAGGTACAGTGCAGACCAAGTGATTTCTCCAAGTCACACTATTAGTAAGCAGCTGACCCAAGATTTGAATCCAAGTAGTCTGCTTCAAAGACAGTACCCAAAATCACTCTGCTGTTCAGGATAGAGGTACAGATTAATTTAACAACAGTTTTTAAGCAATCTGTTAAACTTCAAAATAAAACCCTCCTAGATTCAGGTTCAAAGGAAGAGCTGGTACAACAAAGGTTGAGAGAAGTACGTGGGAACATATATTAACTTACTGTTTCTTTTATGGTAGTCATAATTTTATTTGCTCACCACAGCATGAAATGTTAAGTTGGTATTAGTTTGTATTATGGGATCCCTTAAATTAAGATTAAATGATTTGTCCATACTCGCAGTTAGTGAGAGGTAGAGTTAAGATTTGAACCCAGATTTGTCAGGCAAAAACTCCTATTTCTATGTATCACATTGCCTAAAGGGGCAGAATACAGGAAGACACACACACTGGAAAGTAATGAGGACAATTTCTGTCCCACTAAATAGAGAAGCTGTATGGTCTGGCATCTTGTATTTACATATGGGCAGCATGAGGAACAAAGAAATGAGAAAAACAGTGCCATGCCATCCGCATAGGTGTGCCTTTCCCCCATTCTATCCTCCTTTCCATGGCTTGCTCAGGATACATCAAGGTTACTGAAGCTTGGAGTTATAATGGCAAAGAGAGCTCAGTGGCAGTCTTTCTGACTACAAACTGAAGGAATATTCTTGACAGCTACTTCCTGAGCACCTCTCCAAACAAGCGGCTTATCCACCAAGAATGAGACATTTACTCTAAAATGACTGAGTAAATCTAAAATACAGATCTAAGAAAACATAGATGTAAAGAATTTATGTTTATCTGTTGGAATAGTTCTAATTTATGTGAGATTAGCATCAGTAGTCTCTATCTTCTATAACTAAAAAGGTGATCTTGTGATTATTAATATCATTTATGTGGATGAACATAAGCACATGCACAAATTTGGTCAGCATTGTCTACTTCAAATACTAGATTCAATTATAAGATTAAAGTTCCAATTTCCATGTTATAAAAAATGGTCTGCATGATCACATTAGACTAACATAAGGAAATGTAAATAATCTGAAAGGAGAAAAGCAGAATGTTGTAAAACTTCTATTTTATTTAAAGCCAATGTCCTCTAAAAATCATTGGCTTGGGAATTAGGAGATTTGAATTTTACTAATTCAATAACCAGATGCACTCTATCAGATAAATACCTTCCTAAACCTCTATTTTCTCAACTCCAAAATCACAAATGGTTTCTGAGATCCTTTCAGGGTCAAATATATGGCAAACTGTGAATAATACTTCCTGGAACTTGGAAAAAGATAAACTTTCAGAATAAACATTACCTATAATATATTGCCTTCTTTTTTAATTTAAAAAACAAAACAGAAAAAGAATAGAAATGATACAGAATTTCAAAAAATTAGGAAATTAATACTAGTTAATATATTGCATATTGTTATCTTAGAAGTAGTTGGTCAGGTTACAAGATCTAGGCATAAAAAAATCATCAAATAATCAAACAATGACAGCACAAACTTCTTTTTGATGTACCAACAGAGATTAGTAGTATAGTTATCTATGTTGTATACATATGCATGCATACATTTATATATGTACACCTGCATACATATAATCCTCTCCTTTCTTCCTTTCCTCTCTTCCTCTATCCCAGTTGTTTTTTTCTTTTTGAGTACCCTCTTACCCTTTCATTATTACAGTATCTTTTGGGCCTTTTAAACTCTTATTGAGAATAACGGGGGAAAAGATTACATTTTGGTGAATGAAGAAGCAGAGAGATGAAATTGTAGAGCACTTCACAAGAAGCTTCTAGAGTCTCAAGACTACATAAAAAAAGACTTAAAAGCTCACTCTAGTGATTCTAGTTTTGGAATGTTAGATGGTGGTTTTGGAGAACTATGTTACCCAATTTATTTCACTGGCTTATTCCAAAGGATTTAAAAAGGACGACAAAGTCAGCACTTCTATTTATGGTTTCATAGGTTCCAATCCTGAAGATCATTGATTCCCTCACACTTCAAAAGTAAGTGAAGAATATATCTGGGAGGGATACTGTTTTTCACTCGGGGCTGTTGTAGTGCTTTAAAGGCTCAGACACTCACCTGGCTCAAGCCAATTCCAATTGGAAAAGGTTACAGCTTGCTTTACTCCCCCCATTGTTGCCCAACTATATTCTCCATGGGAATCTACATCTCTCAGGCCAGTCCAGAAGTATTTTTGAAGAGATTTATCATACTTTTTCATCATATCATTGAGGTATTCTTGTTCAAATCTATGAAAGAAGAATCAAATTGGCAAATGTCTTACAATCAGGAAATAGTTAAAAGATGCTCTTTTTTCTTAGGGAGATTCATAGTTAAGCCAGGCATGGTGAAATTATTTCTATAATTTCAACATCTGGGGAGCTGAAGCAGGGTCACAAAATTCTAAGCCCTGCCTGCTCAATTTAGTGGCTTACCAGGACCCTGTCTATAAAATTAAAAAGGGCTGGGGATGTAGCTCCTCCTTGTGAAGATGCTGGATTCAATATCCAGCACTGTGAAAACAAAACAAAACAAAATACCCCTCAGAGTTAAAAGTTTATTACTACACATTACTACACCTGCTAGTGATAGTCAGATTGCAGTTCGTTCCAAAAGGGACCTCATCCTTGTAAATCTTGTAACAGGTTTCTCCATGTCTTTTCCAGCCCTAAACCAGAGGAGAAATATTATCACACTTGATGATGTCTCCCTCCGACAAGGAAATTTCTGTTACAATAATAATATCTTACAAGTTGTGAGAACCTAGGAGAGAGTCAGTGTGTCCCACATGTTATAAGGATGGGTTGTAGTTTCATAGATAACCTCATAACTATGAGCCTGTGTCAGACAGAAGTGGGCATAATTCACTTTAGCCTGAGTGCCTAGCTCACCACAAATTGTATAGCTATTGTTTGAGTCATTTTGAACAGGAATATTATCAGTGGAGGAGGTAAAGCTATCAGCATTGATCATAATAATAATTTACATTTTTACAGAAATTCACAGATAGGTAAGTCTTTTCACTGTTTGTAAAAATAGCAATACATTATGGTTTCCTGACTTCTGATCTGCTTTAATGTAAATGAACAGAGCTAGTGAATTCTTCTATTTTCTAATTCTGAATTGTTTATATTTCAATAACTAAAGTACTTCTAGCCAAGAAGATGTAATTCTGCTTATGAAAACTTATAAAGTGATTTTACTTACCTCACCTAGAGGACACATCTTATCCAACTTTGAATCATTCATTTTTTCTCCCTTTTTCTTACATACATATTTAAGCTTCTCTTCACATGACTGGACTTTCCACTGACCTAGCTTTTAAAAGAGAGAAAAATATTTTCTCACAAAGGATATGATTTGTCATATGTTTAGAATTGAACTCACAAAAATTATAAAGGAGTGAGGAGAGAAAATTATGGCTGACAGCCTCTTATTTTAGGATAAAGCCACCATCTGCATGAATTTCATTTTCTCATAAACATATCAATAAAACCACCAAAGGACACATAGTCTAGAGAGTGAAGAGGTGCTGAACCCTTGACATACTGTGTTCTAGTCTTTCCTATGACATGGCCAAACATGGTTAAACCCTGGGGTATGTCAACCAACTTTCCCGTCTCAGCTTCCTCACGTGCTTAAGGATGATGGTGGTGACAAGGCTACCTTCAAGAACTGTAGAATCAGAGGGCCTTTTTGTTTTTTTGTTTTAACTATGTCAGGATAGACTTCAAAGTTGTCTCTTTCAAATTAAAATTAACTTTATTTCACTAAATCTATTGGAAGACAAATTGGGTAGAAACCTTGAAGACATAGGGGTAGGTAGAGAATTCATGAACAGGACTCAAACCACATGGGAAACACTTCCCAGAATCAATAACTGGGACCACTTCTTATTAAAAAGTTTCTGCATGTCAAAAGAAATCTCCAGCATAGTGAAAAGAAAACCCACAAACTGGGAAAAGATTTTAGTGAACTCTCTCTCAGACAAGGGACTCTTGTCTAAAACATATAAAGAATTAAAAAAACTCAGACCCCCAAAATTCAAAGATCCAATCCAAAAATGGGCATTTGAGATAAATATGCACTTCTCAGATGAAGAAATACAAAAGGCAAATAAATACATGAAAAAATGTTCTTCATCATTGGTCATTAGAGAAATGCAAATTAAACCACACTGAGATACCATCTCACTCCTGAAAGAATGGCCATCAAGAAAACCAACAACAACAAATGCTGGAGAGGCTGTGGGGAAAAAGGAACTCTCCTACACTGTTGGTGGGAGTGTAGACTGGTGCAACCTTTGTGGAGGTCAGTCTGGAGATTTCTCAAAAAGCTGGGATTGGAAGTCCCATTTATTCCAGCTATTCCACTTCTAGGCATACTCCCAGAAGAACTGAAAGCATCATACCACAGTGATGTATGCGCACCTATGTTTATAGCAGCATAATTTGTAATCACCAGATCTTGGAAACAACCCAAGTGTCCATCAACTGAGGAATGGATAAAAAAGTTGTGGTATTTCTATACAATGGAGTATTACTCAGCTATAAAGAAGGATCACATTGAGATATTTATCAATAAATGGGTGCAGCTTGAGACCATAATCATAAGTGAAATAAATCAATCTCGCATGTGTGAATACTGAATAGTTTCCCTAATGTAAGTAATGATTCAAATATATAAAAGTATGTGGTAATCATGATTCCCCATTATGTGGCCTTGAAGCCTTATAAAGTTTTCACTTATTAAGTGGAAAGGCTTTATTCTGGGCTTCTTGATATGGAAATATTTGAAGCTATGGTATACGAAGTTATATTCAAATATTTCAAGGAAAAAGGCAGACACTATGGTAACTACTATTAAGTCGGGTTATTTGGTGGTGAAGCACTAGGCTGCTGAACAGTCATGCTTTGACCTGTATTGTTATGTTGTTATGTCCTCTTTTATCTCAATCTCTCCCTTATTCATTAAAAAATTATTTAGTTATTTTTTATGTTTTTTTAATTAAAGGGAAAAATTTAAAAAATTAGTAGGATATATTATAGTAACTTTTTTTTATTTACTATTAACTTGTTTTGAAGTCCTGTAATACTCCCACTATCTTGTTTTGACTGATTAGACTCTGTTCCATTCTGTATGATAGTATCAAGTTTGAGGGTATAGGCAACTACTTTGAAGGCTAAAAGATTCACTAAGATACCCATTCTAGTTTGACTATTATCTCCTTTGGAAGTCCTGAGATGTTTACAATGTTTAAGTTTTATTGGTCTTGTTCTCTACTGTTTTGTTCAACTTTATAATACCTAATGAGATAGACAATTCTTTTTAAGGAAACAAGAGACATTAGGGTAACCATTGTTGATAACCTTGTACTCTTGTTTTTACATCATGTACTATGTCTATCATTGGTTTTGACTGACAGCTTTGTTCTGCCATATTTGACTTTATTCTCTTCCAAAAAAAAGTAATAAGAACTCAGGAGTAATAAAACCCAAAATGTGTAAATTTTGTTGTAAAAAAGAGAGGGAAAAAAAGTGCTCTAAAGGATACAACTGCGTGTTTAGGGGTGTTAAATAGCTGACCATATTAATGTTTTTGGTTGGATCATTGAACACAACTGTTTGCAGTCTCTCTGTTTGAATGTTCACTTTGTATGCTTTGATACTGTGACTTGAGCAACTATCTCTAAGATGATAATGTGTAATCTATTAACTGGTGATTTTGTTAGTTTTTTTTTTTTTTTTTTTTTTGTAGTTCTGTATTACTTGTACCCTTATACCACTTTGTTTTGTTTTTTCTTTTTCCTTTTAAATAAAATTAAAAAAAATTAACTTTGTTTCATTGGTGCAGCCACTTTTCTGTCTACAACAGTGTTTTAATAGATGAACTATAGTGCCATTCAGTTCTGAACACTGGGATCTATCTGGGTGATGCCTTTAATTCACTACTGCCCATGGCACTTCATTTCTATTTTTTATATTATTCTAAAGTATTCTTTTATGTCTTTTATAAAACTTGTTAGTGCATATTTGTACATGCATATAATATACTTGGATCATTCACTCCTCCCCCGCCTCAGTGATAATTTCTCTTCCCTCTTTGATCCTCTTCCTTTTCTCTAATTTTCTTTTACTTCCATGTGTTTTTCACTCTTCCTCTGATCCCGGCTTTCTCTCATGAGAAGAAACATGCTATTTGACTTTGATCTGGCTTAATTCACATAACATGATGATCTCCAGTTCTAGCTATCTTCCTGCAAATAATATGATTTTGGTTTTTTTTATGATCAAATAACATTCTATTGTGTATATCTTCTACATTTTCTGCATCATTCATCAATTGATGGGCACCAAAGCTGTTTTCCTAGGTTAGCTATTATGAACTGAGCCTCCATAAACATGTGTTATGTTGACTTTAATTTTGGGGGGAGTATAGATGGTTAAAATGGCAGTTCCATTGTTAATTTTTTTTTTTTTTTTTGAGGAACTTCTATGTTGATTGACTGTTACTTCAGTTACTTTCTCATTGCTGGGACAAAATGTCCAACACTCACATGTTAAAGAAAGAGGTTTACTTCAGCTCACAGTTTGTGGGGTTTCAGGGCATAGTTGGCCAGCTCCAAAGTAGGGCAACATGGCAGAGAAAAGAGATCATGGCACTGCAGCAGGAAGCAGCATCTTTCCTTCTGCTTCCCCCTTTCTATTCTGTCTGGGTTAGAAGCGTATTGATTGGTGTCAACCACACCTGGGATGGGTTTCCCCTCTTTGGTAACTCTGTCATCCACACCCAGAACTACGCTAAACAGAGCAGCAAACCAATCCAGTATCACACAGTCAGATCTAGTCACTCCCCCAAACCCACCTATGAGTGCATGAGGCTTTGGGGGGACATCTAGATAAAAACCATAGCAGCTGTACTAACTTACATTCTACCAACACTGTAGAATAGCTCCTTTCCCCTCACATCCTGGTCAGCACTTTTTTCTTTTGTATTCCTGATGATGGGCATTCTGACTGAGGTGAGACAGAATCTCAATGTAGTTTTGACTGTGATTTTCCTGATGGCTAAAAATGTTGAACATTTTTTAATATACTTATCAGCTGTGTGTATTTTTTCTTTTGAGAAATGCATTTACTTCGTTTACTTGCCCATTTGTGATTTGTATCTTGGTGTTTTTTTAGTTTTTCATATATCCTGGATATGAATCCTCTACAGGAAGAGTCACTAGCAAGAATTCTCTCACATTCTGTGGGGTGTCTCTTCATTATGTTGATTATTTATTATGCAGAAGTTTTAAAATTAGATGCAGCTCATTTTGCTGATTCTTTCTGTTATATTTTTGTGCAACTGGAGTCCTATTCAGGAAGTCTTTGCCTGTGCCTATGACTCTGATTGTTTTCCCTATGTTTTCTTTTAGGAATTTCACAGTTTAGATCTTATATATAGGTTTTTGATCCATTTTGAATTGATTTTTGTATAGGCTGAGAAATAAGGATATAGTTTAAATCTCCTACATATGGTAAATGGCCTTTTAAATAGATTGACACTTTTCTAGATAAATCATTATTACTGAAACATTTCTACATTTACATACCATTTATTGCTTCTACTTTAGTCTCTCTAGATGTTGAGGTGACACAGCCACCCTCTTAATCAATTAGAAAAAAAATGTCCCTAGGAAAGTGATAACAACAAAAATATAGAGGTGCAGATATCCTTTTTGCTCAAGCTACAACCTATTTTGAGTTATTAAATGGAACATGTTCAATACATGTTTATGAAACCTTTGGGGGAAAGATATTTTTCTAAATCAATTTAGTTCTAGTTTTTAAATTAAAATACTTAAACATTTTCATTTAAAATTATGATGGTTAATTTTGACGATCAGATGGATTTTCTTTGTGGATTCCAGGGAGATTAGTAAAGCACAAGTCCAGGTATATTGGGGTAGATCATAGGCATAGTGACCTTGGGGACTATATATGGCCCCTGGCCCCTTCTGCTCTGATGCTCTTCCCCTATCCTCTGATGCCATGAGTTGAGAAGTTTTTCTCCACCAATCCTGAATGGCATGATGTTTCTGCCTTAGAGCTAGCCAAGTAAGGACTGAAATTTCTGAAACTATGAGCCAAAACAAAATATTTTCTTTTTTAATTTGGTTATATCAGGCACTTTGTCTTTGCAATAAAAAGTAACTAATACAAAAGTTAAAGTATTAAATAAATATCTTTTAACTCAATTCTCAGAGAAGGATTAATATAAAACTTGTATATGAAAATATGGGATTTTTCAGGTTTACTTGTGGCTACCTGCCAAATATTAGACTGATGGCGGAAATGTCAATGGTGACTCTGATCTGAGAGGAAACAAGTTATTAGATTAAGTTTGCACAAGAATGTGACTCTATCTCTGTTTCAGACAAAGCAAACTGTCTCAGACAGGAAATGAATTATTTAGTCAGGAATTGCTTTTATTTACCCATTTTTCAGTAGCAATAAAAAAATCTACAGGGCTGTTACTTTTTTCCTTTCTCAGCTTACACATACTTTAACCAAAATAGCTTAATATTATCAATGAGGATAACACTAAAACTATAAATAAACCACGTGAGGTTTCATACCTTTCCTAAATAGGAAACACAGTTGGGTGTCTTATTGTAGGGAACTTTCGGCTCATTCTCATCCCAGTATGTCAGAGTGACTTCAGTGCCATCTGACCACTGAAACAAAGTTGGTATATTTATGTTCCTGAGGCCTGTCCATGTTTCTTCTTGGGCATCTAAAAGAAAAATGTGTTATTTTGTTTGGTTTTACTCAACTACATTTTTCAATATGTACATAGTTATAGAGTTTCACCTTAGACATGAGTTTTGAGAATTTATGGCATTCTGAATTGGTCTGTTATAGTGCTGAGGAGACAGGCTGGACAATGAAAGCTTTCCCTATTACTGATACTGATAGAGAAGATATGGGGTTCAGAGCTGCTGACCTCTGTGTAGATAAACTCTGCTATATCAAGATTAAAATACAACCATAGATTTTCAAATTAGAATAAAAATATTGTTCTCTCCTTCCTGCAAAAACTCCACTGCCCTCGCAGAAAAATTAGTGCATCTCTGCAAAAAAAAAAATAGATTATCTATTATTACCTGTTATTAGAGAATCTTAGGAAGAGGGCATGACACCAGAGGGCATGACATAGCTTTGTTTACTGGTCTTTAATTCTCAAATAATTACAAGGTGAAATAGTCATCACTTACATTTTTGAAGAAACTTAAAATGAATTTAGTGTATAAGAAAAAGAGATCTATTCAATCAACAGTTGTACAGTCAAATCAGTAGCCTTTAGGCATATGTGACTATTTAAACCCAAATGTCAAGTAATTAAAATTAAATAAAAGCAATAATTCAAAAACATTGCAGTTCAGTTTATCATTTCCCAAGCTATATTTCAAGTGCGCAAAAATCACATGTGGTTGGTGGCTACTGGATTGGACAGGGCAGAAAATAGACCAGTACCATTATCACAGAAAATCCCATTGGATAGTGCAGTAGGATCAAATTGGAAGCTTTCATTTCACTAAAAGTCTGGAAAATAGGCATATTTTAAAATATCTTAAGCCTCTCAAACAGGATGTTGTAAAAAACTTACCCCCATTATGGAGTTTTGTGACAACCACCTCCACATCTGCTAACGAATGAATGCTGATGAGGTCACCACTGAACGCTTTGCATTTTATTTGTGCCTCATCCCAGGAACCACTTTCATTTACTAGTAGATAGCAAAATCCATTATTTGGCAGCCAGCCTGCATCACAGCGGGTATCTGAATATGTCCAAACGTCTGGGGGAAAAGCAGCAATTTATATTCCAGTAAAGATATTGCTATTTTGAATCAAAAATACGGCAAATTTTTCTTTTTTGAATCATATATCTTCTGCAAAACTAGGCAACATAAAGTCACATATTAGAGTGACATAAATGTATGTTGTCCCTTATGTATACATGGCACTGTAAGAATTCCTGCAAGGATTCAGATAATGACGTAGCCTTACTGTAACACAGACATGCTACATGGCTGGGCATGGACCGCTTAAGGGGCACAGGCACAATAAAGGGTGGGATTGCCCTTAGTTGTAATAGACAGAAGAAAGGCATAGGGTAAGCTAGTTGCTGACAAATCTTTTCCAGGGTCTGAGATTTGTTAGGCTCCCCTCTAATCTCTGCCTTTGTGAGGAGCCATCTCTTCTTGCATGATTAGGTCACCAAGGCGATGTGCATTAATTCTCAGTATTGAGCAAAGGACAGGCAGAGATTTTAGGAACAGAATAAGACATCTGTACACTTCACACCCAAGAGATGACAGCAATGGAGAAAAAGGTTAAAGGGCATCTTTGGACTTCTTTCTTTTCCCCGTCCTGCTGGACTCTTTGTCCTCATGAAACTACTAGTTCTTTGTTTTGACTATGATAAAACTCACAAATGAAGTTTTAATCTTTCTAGATTAAAGAAAAAAGATTCGAGCATAAAAACATGCAAAATACTTTTTCCCTTGTTAAAAAACTGGAAAATAGTTTGGTTATTCAGACTTCACTGATTCAGAACCACTTTGAACAATTGTTTTTAAGAAAATAGCACCGTAAAAACTTGGACAGCTTATTTTTTTACTTAAGGGTAATGTTCAGGTTCATCTAGCCTTTCACACTTACAAGATAGCTAACTTTTAGATTCTGAATAGCATTTATTATTACTATTATATTTTACAATTATGATAAAGGAGTGGAGGGGAAAATCATGCATAATTGAACTTAAAACAATCATTTTCACATTCTAGTCTTTGTCTCTATGCCTAGATATTTTTATGAGACTAAAATGATAAGTAACCATATCATTTTGTTCAGTTTTTTGTACTTTCCTGATGGCATAGTTATACTAAATGCATATTGTTCAATTATGTAGAAACAATTTCTTAATAATTGGTACTTTGAGGTATTTACTTAATCTTTTGTTGGTTGTTCTGTTTTATTTTCATTTCTGCTCATTTTTCTATTATGCTTTTTGTTGTATGGATTACATTTGGTTTGCATTAACTTTGAAGATGTGTTCATTTTCTACCGTTATCCTAAAACATTTCCTTATATCATTTATTTGATATGACATTTTTCCCTTAAAAAAAGTTGCTCTAAGCTCCTTTTTGGATGACAAGAAACTCAGTTGTTTTTCCTTTTCTCTCATAATTCCTTAAAGCAGGACTTTTAAAAATCACCTTTTCCTTTTCAGTTTTGAGTCTGAGTTTTTCTTATTCAGTAAAAATTTAGTCAAATATCATGCATACATCAGGCCCTGTGCTTGATAGTCTAAGAGTCTTCTTTATTCTTGCAAAACCCTCTTTAAGCTTCCCCTTCTCAAAAAGTTCTGCAGTTCCTGTATCTCTTTCATTCCCAAACTCAGAGAAAACCCTTCTTGTACAAATTTTGTCCTGAGCCACTGATTTTTTACCTGATTTTTCTGTGCAAGGACTAAGGTACCAGCACTGATGGACAGAGAAGGGCTGGGTATTATGGGACAAGAGGCCGGAATGCCTGGGAATACCCCTGTTGTCCACAGGTATGCAATATAGGCATAACACCTGTCCTTACAGCAGCAGCTCTCAGACTTGAGCATTCATCAGGAGCACCTGATGGCCTTCCTAAAAGGACTTTTGGGCTCCATCTCTATAGTTTTTGTCTTGGCAAATCCCAGTAGATCCTGAAAATGAGAATCTGCATTTCTAGTGGGCATAGGTGATGCTGATGTGCAAAGTGCTAATGTGCACTTTGAGAGCCACAATGGGCAATAGGAGAGACAGAGACAGGTAGAAAAGGGCAGGCCACCAGTGAGCAAGAACAGATTTCCTAGAACATATCTGCCATATTATGTGGATAAATATATTTTGAGTGAATATTTTTCAGTTGATAATACATAATGACAGGGTTAAAAGTGAAAAATCTTTGCGTTGGCAGTATCAGGTGAATGGACTGTGGAAATGGGTGTCTGAAATGAATTCACTGAACTTCACAAAACTGCTGTTAAGATCTCTCTGTACAGGGAAGGGAGGAAGATACCTGTTAATTCCGTTGTATTATTCAATGGTTTTTTGCAGATGTAGGGTAGTTTAGCTTCACAGAAAATCATCTGCCACAGTCCAGACTCGGCGTCCATTCTTGCACAGCTTGACCCACCTATTATAGGTGCACTTGGTATATCTTAAAAAGTAGGATTTTCAGAGTTTAAAAAGGTTAGGCTCGGGAAGAATAATTTGTACTCACAATTTTCTGCCTTTATGGAAACTCATAGTACACTTAATACTTTTAAAATTGAAATGTATAAGCCTCAATGGGTAATAGTATGCTTAAATATCTTTCTTCTAAACTACAAGACACAAGGGAAAACATTCTCATATATTATAGTTAATTTAGAATGGAAAAACAAAAACAAATCTCTGTTTCCAAGCAACTTTCCACCTGTGCCCAGTAGCTCTTAATCTGCTATTGTACAATAAATGTTTATAATATGATGAAGGTATTAATTTATGATTCTGTAATGCCTTTAAGCCCTCAAATAAGATTATATTAGGGCCTGGTACTGTACCTCGATGGTAAAGCATTTGCTTAGCAGGTGAAAGGCCCTTAGTTTGATTGCCAGTGCGCATGTGCGCTATGCACACACAGAGAGAGATTTGCTTTAAAATTCTACTTATTGAGATAATAGAGATTTATTTTCTAATAAGAAAATTTATTTAGCTAAATGATATTGGTATTTCATAGTAAATGACTTTTTTCTTGTATGTGCACAGAATATCTTTTTACTGAAATTAATGTGAATTTTATGGTTTTGCATTTGCCAGACTGTGTTTTTCAAAAAGTACTTGATCTTTCTTTGGGGGAAAACTTAATTTGGCTAAGTGTGGTTTATTTATTTCACTCACTGCTAAGTTTTCTTTGAAGTATTTATTTGAATAATAAAATAAATATATGCATTATTTTGTCAGTAACTGCATAACAGAGTGGGGAGACCTCAAGCTTTTGAAATTGAGAAATATTTCCACAGCAGAGTTTAACTGCACACAAAAAACAACACAGGTGAATCATGGTGTGCCAAGTTCCCACAGGACCCAGAGTGGCTCTTACCCATGTGGTGAACTCATCCTGGTCCTACCTAAAACTGAGGGGTGGTCATCAAGGCTAACGACAAATCTCAGCAGCCCACGGTGTGATCAACAGGTACTACAATTAAGAATGGCTTGAGACAATTTTGTTCTGAGAAGTAACCACAAAATTTGACAATGCTTGAAACTTTTATAAGCTTTCAGTGATTGGGAAGCCCTTGTTTTCTAAAGCTTTTGCTCTGAGGAAGGTGGTTGGGGCAGGAGATTACCTGGGTCCCAGTTGAGAAAGTTTAATGGCTTGTGGTCTGACCATTCCCAGCCTCTGGCAGAGTACAGCTGATTTAGTCCAATCCAGAAACTTTTAGGAATGTTTTCCTTTCCTGTAAAATTCACACAGTTTTAAAAATTGACACAATCACCTAAATTAACTAAAGAAGATTGACTTTCTACTAACAGCAAAAAACAAAACAAGAGAAGACAAATCAAATCCTAACTCCAAACCCTGAAGGTCTAGACTAGAAGCAGAAGTCCCTGAAGAACAAAGGCAAGAGATGGTGACAGACAAAATTTCAACTACTGAGAAACCTAATTAATCACATATGTTTGTTCAGTTCTGTTTTACCATTAGCTTGTCCAATTCCTTTTTTTTTTTTCTAGGTAAAAACAGAATCTTTAGATTACTGTTTTTCAGTAATCTAAGAGCCTATTTTTAAGTCTCTTGTACTAATTTGAAGACTTATCAAAAGCAGTTTCCATTTTATATCTGGAATTTGAGGATCTGATTATACACTAACAGTTTAAATTGATGAAGCACACATTATTTGCCAGGTACTAGGAATTAAAAAATTAAAGAGACAAAATCTCTGCCCCCGTAAAAATTTCAAACTAGTAGAAAGCAATTAATACAGAAGCCCCAAAATGGTAAAATATTTCTGGAACTGGGTCAAAACTATGTGTAAGAGCTGTTTCTTAGGCAATGGAATATATAGCAATAGTATGCAAAGGAACTCAGACTGGAGAAACAGGATGAGAGTTTCATATGTGTGTGAGTGTGTGTGTGTGTGTGTGTGTGTGTGTGTGTGTGTATGTGTGTGTGTGTGTCTGCACAGGAAGCAAGTATCAGTCAAATCTATTACTTGAAAGCCAGATGTCATCAGCAAAAAAGAAAGAAAGAAAAGTAAAAATAATTTAAATATTGAAGCCAGTTGCCAATAGGCCAGTTAATGTACGTATGCTCACAAAACAGGGATGTGATCACATTTGTATGGGTCCACAGATACTGGAGAAAGAATGAAAAGAATGTGTAAATGATTGTTGAGAATATTCAGCATTGTCTATGAAGTCAACAGCATTGTTCATGAACCTGGCAAGATTTCGTCAACATCACAAAGGAAAAATTTGAAAAATTAATTGAAGGTCAGATAGCAAAGGTAGAACAATAGTTCTCAGCAAATTATATATGATGTGTTATTGCACTGTATATCATAATCTATGTATTACAGAAAACCATATCGATTCTTTAAGAGCTTTCCAAGGGTAATTTTGACTGCACATGATCTTTGCTTTATTGCAGGCATTAGAACCTGAATCCCTACAATATGACCTCTCTGGAAGCAAAACCCAGGGAGTGGGTTGAGAAGTGATAGAAACAAAGAGGAAAAAGGTCAAAAGCAGTGACCAGACACTAATATTGGAAGAATGACAGGAGCTTGGCAAAAGGGTGTTGGAGACACTTAGCAAGGAAAAAGAGAAGAGCTCCAGAAATCAACAGACAGCAGGAAAGTTGAAAATCACAGAGAAACAAGACAATGCAGAGAAAAGAAAAAAGCAGCCTTGAATGCCAACCTTGACAGAATGTGAGTCCAGAAGGGCCAGTAGCCCCAGCAATAATGTACTGGAAGCACAAGCCCCAGGACAAACCTACAGTTACTGTGAGCAGCAAATACAGTGTGAGATTTTACTCCCACTGCATGCCAGGCTAGGTTGGGAAAAGAACTCCAGTGCAGTACTTGCTATATTTAGGAGTAATATAATCAGAAGCCAGTTTGAGCAGGGATTTATTGTGTCAACACTGAGCTACTCTAGGGAATCAGAAGTCACAGAACAACTATGCCTCAAGGTCTTGGGAGTCATCCTCCTGCAATGACTGAGTGGGAGATGCCTCAGGAGATAGTCCTGGAGTGGGGGAGGGCTGGTACAGGCTCCCTGACAAGAGCAAGCACTGGAGAGCTCAGGCTCTGAGGAACATGGTCTGTCCTCTGGGTGAGAACCCAGGCTGGTTCTGTGTGGTTTCTGAGAGGGCTGGGTCTGAAAGCACTGGGATTGAGTCCCATGGAGGCATGGCCCCCATGTTACCCACTTTCAGAATAAAACTCAGTGGTCTGTTTGCTTTCCCCACCTGCTAATATGATCAGTGACCCACTTCTGCTTGGATATTTTCTATGTCCTGAGGGCCTCTGGAGCAAGCGGAACACCTGATGAGCCCACCGGCAGTGAAGCTACTTGGGGATAATAGTGGTTCTTGGTACACAGAAGAGCACAAAAAATACTGAAAGTCTCTGAAGTGAGTACAGCCCTGAGGCAGACAGCACAACAACTAACTGACCCTACCCAGAGGTAAAGGTTGGACCAGGGCTTAGAATCTACCTAACAAAAAGTGGATATGGAAACACATATTACCCAATTATGGCTTTCCCCATGTCTGGTACATTCCAATGTTAGAGATCCTGGAAAGAAACTACTTACTCCACCTTGATGAGGAAGAATTTTTTAGATTCCTTTCTCTTTCTATTTTTTGCTACATTTTGGAATTTTTTGTTTGTTTAATATTTTTTCTTTTGCTTTTCTTTTTCTTTTTTGTCACTTTTACCTAAATATCTTTATTTAAACATTTTTAAATTGAATTTTTTTCTTATTTTTGTCTCTATCTTCCGTTTCTTTTAAAAATGTATACCTCTTCCATTTTCTTGCTCCACTTCCTCCATTTATTATTTTTTTCCTGCAAATAGATTCCTAGTCTCATTCAGCTAATAACCATCAAACCTGAACATCATTGGGAAATAACCTACTTCACTATGCTTTGTATAGTCACAAGTCTATTTTCCCAATCAGATCAAGCACTTTGGTTACAAAGTCTTCATTTGGTTCACTTTTATTGGCATCATTACTCTTTGTCCAATGGTTACAAATGCAGATTTGCAGTAAAGGGATGCATAATAGAAATTTCTTCTCGAAATACAGATATTCTGATTTTGAGTGTTGAGAAATTAGCAAACATAATTAGGCATACTGATATGTCTAAATAGTTTTTATTCATATGAAAGAGAAACTCAAAATATTAAAAACAGATATACCTCTCAAATCACTGATACACTTAAAATATGTGAACTGTCTTGCCAGGAGTAAAGAATAATAAAGTACTTTTCTGTATCATCTCAGTTTTATAAGTTATTAAAGAAAAACTAATTCATTAAGAATCATGCAACATTCTTTTCTCCAAAGGCATCGTTTGATTTCTGTAGCATGGTGATAGTCACACTTCAACACTTTCCTCCTTCCTGAAATCATCATTTTCCAAATGTTGATATTCTACTTACATTTATTGATATCTTACAATCTCAGTGATATTTTTGGTAAACATTTAGTGAAGTCTGAAATAGAATTCTACCAAACGCTAGCCTATTAGATTCATTTAACAGATGTCCATTCCAAAGCTCTATTTAACTGCAAAACAACAGAGGCAAAAAAAGAATAAAGCTATGTGTAAGAAAGGAGGTCTGAATAAAACTTTAGCCAAAAAGCATGAAAAGAAGTTCAGTGGACTTTTAATGATTAAAAAAAAAAAGAAATACAGTGTAAGAATAACTAGCATATTAAAAAAAAAAGGACTTTAGTTTTCTATGTTGATATTTAAATCCCAATTCTGGAATGTCTTAGCTGTGTGACACTATTTTTAAGCATTAATTTTTTGATCTGGTGATTAAAATCCCTGTGATGTGGTAGCAATGATTAACTTCTTTAGAAAACAAGCCTTGCTCAGAGCACTTATAACTACTTGTAGTTATTATAAAATCATCTGACAGAATTTACAGGAAATATTTAGGTATCTGTTTACTATATGCTGTCAATGCTGAAAGTTTTGTGCTTCAAGTTAAAAAACTGAGAACCCACGAAACCCAAACCATCTCTCCCTGCAAAGAACTTGTAGTGTTATAAAAGGTGAATCCAGGTGCATGCCTGATACAAGTTGTTTTTGTCAGATCAACTGTTCAAATTTAGGCTCTACTAATTATTTGCAAGTGATGTTGTATTTCTTCTTTGAGCCTCATAATAATCATGTGCAAAATGAGCACAGTAACATCATGCAGAGTGATAGAACATTTTAATTTCGAAAACTTTATTACAGTAAAAGACCAAGATGGGATAAACCTATTCAAAGTGAGGAGGAATGTTTTGAGAGAGATTAAAGGCAATGTGTCTTTTAATGAAATAAAAATTTAAATTTAAACATTCACTGCATTTATGATCACTTTATATATGCTGTTCAGTTTGGCTCTTCACTAAGATAAAAGAAATGACCATAAATGATACATGCTTTGCATTAATTCAGGTATTGAGGTTGCCACAACAGCACAACTAAAGGTACAATAAAGGACTTCCACAACTGCTTTGAAGTGGCAGAAATGAGGAGATAAGTGTGTTCAAAAGGAGGGGAAGTATTTTGAGAGAAGCTAAAGACAATGTTTCTTTTACTGTAATAAAAATTTTTAAAAATTTTAATATTCATTATAGTTTTTGTATCTTGTACCTAACCTCATAGGGCTGTTATATAAGATTAAATATAAAAAGCATTTCATAGTTTGAGTCAATTAGCATCATAATCTACTACTACTTTTTTTCATTCTGAGAACATATCATTAAGGGCTTAGAACTTAGGTTTTTGGTTTTGAAAACTAATATGAAAATGTTGTATATAAACTTTATGCTTTTGTATATAAATCTTTCTTTCAAGATTTTGATGAAAAAAGTTATAGAATGTCACTGGGCATGTAACAGAAGTCAGTCAAAATAAAAAACCATGCTGTTTTCATGGGATGAGAAGGCAATGTGGAAATGACAATGCCTTCCTAATTAACCTGTAATTCAGTGCAATTCCAATCTATATTGCCATAAGTATCATTAGGAATTACAAGGTGACCCTGAAATTCATATGAAAGAACACATAATCTCTTTATTTTTGTTCTTGGTCAATATGTTTTAAATTTCCATCATTAAGTATTTTTAGATTTCTACCATTATCCTGCAAACAAAATAAAACAAAATCCTATCCACTCCACAAAGCCATGTTAAATCCACTTTAAGATTTCTTAAAACTTCTTCACAATGAGGACTATACTTCTTCACTGAACTGTCAGGACATTTTACTGAGGCGCTACAGTGTGAAAGTCATTTGTTTTATCTTTTTTGAATCTCTACTTTAAAGAGTTTATAGTTCAATCCTTGCCCTCAAACCCTTCCATTTAGGATTGTTTTTAGAACATTAATCTCTGGTGTCTATCAGAAGCAGTATTTTTCAATACATGAAATACGTTTACATTCAGTACACCTTTTGCTTGTGAGCTTTAGTGCAGAAGTTTAAATCCTAGTAGAATCAGAAAAATATGCATAAAACACCACTCCTGGACATGAAAGTAGAAGAAAGCATCATCAGTTTCTCAACAATTTGCTCTACCACATCTAAGTTTAACCTACCTTTAAGATAAGTTAATTCAGCAGCACTCTTGATGCTCAGTAAGTCAGCTCCTTGACTCTGACATGAAACATAAGCTTCTTTCCAAGAAAGAATTGCCTGCGTATTAAATTGGTAGCAACTTCCGGTCTGCTCATTCTTTTCCCAATTACCTTCACAGTCATTTTCTGGAATGAAATGGTAAGTTAGTAATCATAAAGTAGGGACATAATGCTTCCTATTACTTGTAATGCTTACAAGTGTGATTCAAATTGCGTACTCCCATGTAAGATATGCCAGAACAGTGGCTGCTATTATCCTTGTGTAGACTGTATTTTGATCCTTTGGTTACACAGTGAAATTGAAGTCAGAGGACACCAAATGACTCAGAATGATGAAAGCTTCAACTCTGCTTTATCCATTCAGCTACAACGGCATGTTTTCACTCATGTCCATGCCTGTCCTCTGCTTAAAGGTATGTCTCAGAACACTGAGCTAGTGGAAAAGAAGCTTGCTTAAACATGGTGGCAGATTTCTGGGAGTCTCCCCAGAGATTACAGAGAAACCAGGGTGTGTAGTGTGTACACTAGACATGCTGCTTAAATGCCTAAGATGTACATGTGACCATCTTATTTCAGAAACAAAATTTCTTTTTAATAATTAAATGTATAATATAAAATTCATATTGTGTATATATACATATGTAGATTTGTAAACATGCACATACATTATATAATGTATATCATGATCCTTTAATAGATATGCAAAAGTATATGAAATTTCAGGCAAAGAATCTTCAAACTGTCTCCTGGATGAGTGATATAGGTGTTGAAACAATTGGCTCAAAAACCTCTCGGGTGTTTCCAAATCCTGGGGCCTGGAGGTCCTCACAGGGCCTCTTGTAACCAGTCACACAGCAGAAGGAAGAGTCATGGACCTGTGTGCTGGAAGGTCCTTGAAGGTTCTCTTGTTGAATACCCTCATTTCACAGAGAGAACAAAGGCCTCAAGTGTTTAAGCTAGGGCTATAATCAGAGCACTGATCTTTTCTGTTGTTCTTCAGAATGGTAAACTTTGCCTCTGCCACCACTTTTCTAGGGTGTAAATACCAACAGACATTGTGACATCTGGTGAAAACAAAATGGGGTGAATTTGTAAGTACATTGCCTAGAGGTTCATTGTTCCTACTAAGGCCTCTACTTATAAATCCAGAAGCTTCTGGTGGGATGGCTGTGCATTTTCTATGCAACACAACTGCTGTGGTTTCTCAGACTTCAAGTTTGAGAAACTTACATTCTTCTTTCTTCCATGACAAGTAACTTGGGTGGGGGTAACTTTCTTGTAAGTTCTGATATTAACAACCTCTATCCCACTACTGAGAGGAAGTCAAAGGCACCAAGACATCTTCCAGACAAACCAGCAAGGCAGAGTGCAGTAAATACATTGGAAAATGAGGATTAGGAATCCTGGTTTTCTGCCAGGGCCAAAGAACGTGATCTGATCTTCACAGGTCATTCCATCAGCCTGAGTTGGCTGTCTCTCATCTGAGAAATAAGAGTTTACACTAGATAATTCTAAACTCCACTTTTATCTAAAATTGCTGACCCAAATTTATAGTGAGAGTTAAATGAGATACTTATATGGTTGATTACATTCTGCTGTTGTCAGTAACGGCCAAAGCAAATACTGGCTTTTTATATTTCAGTATCCTACAGGCATAGAAAACTTTGGTCTCAACCTAAACATGTAATTCTCAAAGTGCAGTCCCCAGACCAACATCCTAAGCATTACGTGGGAATCTATTAAAATATAAATTCTTGGGCTCCACTTCAAATTTACAGAATAAAATTCTCTACAGGTGGGACTAAAAAAACTTGTGTTGTAACAAATCATCCAAGATCCCACTGTCCTGAACACTGAGACTCACTGTGGCAGTATAACCTCTTCAAGTTGCTCAGAACTCTGCAAGTTGAAGCTCAGATTCTAGAAAGGAAGAGTCAGCACTACTAATAGCAGCGGATTTCTACTCAGTGTAGTTAGCTTTCCATGGCAAGAGCTTTATAGTCAGACTTCCTAGGTTTGTATCCTACGGCTGATATTTATTAGTTTTGTGACTTAATGTCAGTTATGTAATTTATGCATGCCTCACCATGCTTATCATGGTACCTATCTTATAGGATTGCTGGGAGGCTGGAAAGAGTTAATAAATACTGAGAGCTTAGAGCAGTGCCCGATGCATATAAATATTAACTACTATTATTTGGGTTAGAACTCTCTTTTCTTGTTGCTATAAATTCTTTCAACCTATTTCATATTGAATAATATTTCTTAAGCACCTGCCACATGTCACGTCTTATGATACCTGTAATTCTCACCTAATTGGCAAGATACTGTAGTCACACTGAGATATTGGATAATGTCACTTCTTCTATGTTGGTCTCTTTTTGTCTATAAAAAGAACAGTGAATTCTTTAGCACATGCTGAATAGTTTGCTTGTAGTAAGAAGCAACTAGAAAAAGTATTATGATCAATAGGAATGATCAACAGGAATGACAGAGAGAACACTGCCATCAATTCTGAGAGGGTTAAGGATATGTCTCCCTTCTCTTAGCTTCAGGACATAAACATACTTAAATGTTGACAATTTTAAAAGCATTTTTTCAATCTGTCTCTTCCCACCATGCTATTCATCTCTCTTTTTCTCTCCATGAAAAGCACAAGGTTAATTTCCTTCTGCGCATATTTCAATTCATTGTAACTCAGTTTTTCCTCCTACTAGTCTTCTGAAATTGCAATTTCCTAACTTCCGGAGTTCTGAAATTCAAATTTCCTAACTGCTCATGCCTTTTCCACTTCTCCCTGAGGTGTATGTGCTATCCAGTTCCTCCCTCCTCTGTGTCTTCCATGACACAAGCCATCTTGGTTTTCCTCTTGATTTGCTTCTGAAAGCAAATGGAAAACTGTATTATTTCTCTTTCTTTTTCCAAACATACACCCCTTATCTAGGCTATTTGTTACGATCACTTTTGAGTAATCTTGAACTCTTCCTTCTCTCTTTTGCCTCATATAAATGGTATCTTCTTTCCAGACATAAATCTTACCAGCCCATACATACCTGGTTTTAAGCAGATGCCCCATTTTTGATCATATTCATAATTTAAGGTGGTAGCACACCATGGCCCACTATGATCTTCATCAAGAATGCAGTCATGATGCCATGTTCCATTAACTAAAAATGGAAATTCACAAGGTGTCCCATAGGAATTCCCATCTCTGGTATATATCTCTGTGGATTGGGAATGAAGTAAGGAAAAAAAGAATTAAAAACTGGGTAATCACTTTCAGCTAGACAATTTCTAAAAATGTTTTTAAAGAAAATATTCTTTCCCCGTATGAGAACATGGTATCAAGTAGGCTGCATGGTGTGGAAAGAACATGGAAGCTGATTGTTTAGGTCTGGACTTGAATGCTGCTTTCTTCACTAGCCCTCATTGATTGTGGGTAAGTTAGTCAATGTCTATTTAGCTCAGTTTCTGCATTAGTTGCGGATGATGAAGGTTCTTCATGAGGATTAAGTGAGATAATTCATGCAAAGCTCTTTCACTTGGTGGGATGAAGTATTAAAATAACCTGGCTTGATCAAGCACGGATAGATGCACTACTGTACTGTGGGTAGCAGTCTTTCACCAGAAAGGGTATCCTGACAGGTTCACCTCCATTTTCTTCAGTAATGTGGGGCCAGAAAAATACCTGAGAATCAATAAGGGGTATATGTGGACATGTGGAATCATCTGTAGAGTGAGAGAGATGGACAAACAAGTCCACTGCTTAACAGAATTTAGATTGTGGGTTTTAAGGAAATAAAAGGAAGAATTGATAGAATCCTGGGTAGATTTTGGAGAGATTAGGGCAGAGAAATTGAAGTTATGAAAGAAAAATCACCCTCAAAGAGGTAGTTATGGCACCAACTGATGGCCAGAAAAATAAGCATATTTAGCTTTTCATTTAAATCATTTTCTCTGGAGCTCAGAAATATTGAAAGATGATTCCAATAGAAAATATGCCTGGAAATGCCAGAGGAGTTCTTAATGGTTAATCACTTTCTTGTAAAGATGTTTTTATAGGACAACTATTTCTGTCACCAATATCTCAATTTAAAATAAAATCCTAGTCACTTTCAGATCAAGTAATAGCTATTATGTAAATCATAGACATCAAATCTCTTTACCCTTTACTGGGTAAAGACTTTCAAAATGTCTCATAGTAGATTTTAAAAAAATATGTTTAAGACAGTATTTGATTATATATCCTTAATTACTCTCAAGAGTTCATCTGACTGGTGTGAGACTTAATTTAACTGTTTCGAATGTATTATGCAACAATATAACAAAAGACAAGAATAATATAGATGTTTTTTCTTTGAAAACAGCATTTTACAGATCAAACTCTTAAAGTGTTCTTTCCTTATGGCACATAAATGGCTTTAAACAGGGTACATTTACTAAAGACTGTGTTGGCTTTCTGCTTTATAAGGATTATGCTCATCACATGTTTTATTTCTGACCACACCAAAAAAATCCCAAGAACTCATGACTAGTTTCCCTTTTCTGTTACAACAGTACGAGGATAGTAACTGAACACAAAAACCGTGACCTGCAGGACTTACTGGGTTTTCCCCCCCTCTAAAACCTTTCATCTCTATAATAATCTTGTCATATTACATTACTTTTACTTGCTCTTTACCACAAACCTTGAGCTGAGCAGGGAAGATACTAAATTTGCTTGTGAAATTCCCATTTTTGCAGAATAGTGGAGTGAAATATTTTATTCAGGGACTCGGCTGCGAGTGATAGAGATGAGAACTCTCTGATTAGAGTCCTTGATATACATGGACAAGTTTGGAAACAATGCTTGCATTCTCAGGGTTTTTCTTTTGAAATTTTTATTTTTATTAACACATGTTTGCAGTACATAATGATTGCATTCACCATGGGGAGCTGGTTCATGTACATACAACATCCTAATTCTTTTTATATTTCTGACTTCTTCTCCGCCCCCCCCCATAGCATAAAGCTAAATTTCACTGAAAGCTTCAAAATTTGAAGAATAAAAGCAAACAACAGCAGCCACAAAAGAAGCAACTGAATGATGCTCATTCCTCATTACAAATTTTATTCCCATTTATCCTTGCTACTGTTGGACTTCTGTGGGTTTCCAAGCTTATTCAGGTTTCAGAGAAGAATCTTCCCTAAATGTACTGATTCAGGTTGATAGAATCTTTGAACCAACTCACTACGTAAGGATGAATCTGTAAGATGGTGTTTATGGAAAAAAATGAGCTTCTTTAGTAACATGAAAAAATAGCTTTGATGGTCAAAGAGACTGGCAGGTTTTCTGAGCATTATGCCAAAAGTAGTCAAAATGGTTCTTACTGCTTTCCTGCCACCAAAAGCCCATTTCCTCTGCAAGATCCAAAATTTGAAGAGTGATACTCAAGTCAAGCTATTTTATGTTAAAATGCACACTCAGGAAGTAATCACAAGCAGTTCACTTACAAAACTCATATAACAAAAGCTTTCTCTGAGATGAGCATAACTCAGGGTAGGGTTAAGGGAAGAGGAAATCCAGGGCACAATAATTTGGGGGAAAGAAACTCTGGTTTTCATCCCTAGCTTTGGTGTAGCAAGCTGGGTAACTCTGAACTTCACTTTACTGAGACTCAGGTATCTTACTTTCCTTATTCTAATACAGGTATACCAAGGGTATTTGTATCAGGAGTCAGAGAGAACAGCAGAGAGGGTCCCTAATTTAAGACGGCAGTCCTGAATAGGAAGGGACACACAAAAAATTAAAAGGATAGAATTGCTAGTATTTAATATTTGATTCAACTTGAACAGTGGGAGAAAAAAGCAGAAAAACTCAAGGCTGCCTTACTTATTTCTGATACGTAGAATTTGGATGATGTCAGTCACCTAGCGAAGAGCAGAGAAGTGGCAGTTTTGGCTTTGGCCTCTGTGCAAATTAAAACATGAAATACATCTTGACTAGACAGAACTCTTAAAAAATTTAATGTTTCAGATATTACATGTGGAAAGGTCCAAAAATATATTCATGCCTGTAGGCTGGGCAGGGGCTCAATTTAGCTCTCTCAGGCCATGCTCTGGGTCGGTTCTTAGCCTTCACTTTGGCTGCTGTGTGAGGCCTGTGGACCCCCTTCTGAGAAAAATATTATAGATGCATAAATAAAACACACAGGACAAAAAAGGAGACAAGTTATTGAAATGAAGACACTCTGAAGACTGAGTTTAAGATTATAACTGTACCCTCAAAAAAACAGAAAAATTAAAAGCAGCCCTGCCAAGAAAATGATCTGCCCTGATCCCTGAACAAATATGTTAAATCCAGTTCTAAAACCATTGTGTGGGAATCTATGTTTTCTCTTAGTTGCCATCATAGAGACAGTCATTTATAGTATGAAATTTAAACGTGGCATTAAGTGGTACCTAGAAACAACTTTAAATATAGGAGGAAGCTGCGTAGCAGAAACAGATTTGTTTAATTACTCAAAGGTCAAGAATGGGAGAAAAGAAACACTCCAACTCTAATATTTTTCAATTAACGGTGGGACCAGATAGTCTCAGATTTTCTGACTTTCCCCCAGAAGTAGAAAGAGGTTTCTCTAGCAGAAAAACTCTCATAGATAATGAGCAGAAGCTGTTATCCTGAGTCTATAGCTGAACTTAGCTAACATGAGTTTTAAAGGAAGAGAAAAACCTCTGTAAGCTACATAAGTTTTTAAAGAGAAAAGTTAGGTAATAGAACTCAAGATAATTAAATATGTCAACATTTGATGTAACTTAGAAAAACAGTGAAAAAAGATTTGTTTGCTTGATAGCTAATTACTTTAATGGCTTAAAAATGTATCTACTTATTCTTTTTAAGCTTGAAAATTGAAACCTGATCCCTAGACTCAGAGCAAAGGGCATGGTAATATTGATACTTATTTTTGGAAGCAGTCAAGAAAAATTCCACTCTTTAAATGGTGAATCATAAATATAAACATCGAGATGTTATAACCATGCAAAAATGAAAATAATACACCTGAAAGTAACTTTTAAAATATTCCAGTTATAAAAAAAAAAAGCTAGACAAGGAAGAATACATTTATTTTTATTTCTTCTTCTTCTTCTTCTTCTTCTTTTTTTGTCTTTTTCTTTTTTATTGGTACCAGGGATTGAACTCACGACCACCTGCTTGCAAGGCAGGTGCTTATGCCACTGAGTTAAATCGCCAGCCTATTTCTTCTTTTTAAATTTAGGATAAGATCAGTATTATTAGATCACTTGTCTTTTAGCATGTACAAAAATTTTTTGTTAATCTGACATTTCCTTTCCCCTAGAGTTTAGGATGTTATTATAGGGATATGTTCACGTATCACATAATTTCAAATCCGAAGTTTACTATAACATAGCTGTGTTACTTTTAACAAATCACTTAATCTCCCATAGACTTACTGTGAAGGGATGAGGGCAGGGCAAGTACCACCTACCTTAGAAGTATGCGGGTAAGAATGCAGCCCATGGGGGCTGGGGATTTAGCTCAGCGGCATAAGCATCTGCCTTGCAAGCAGGCGGTCGTGAGTTCAATCCCCGGTACCAATTAAAAAAAAAAAAAAAGAATGCAGTCGAAAATAACCGCACAGTGCCAGGAACCAAACAGCTGCTCCCCTACCAGTACGGGGCTTTATTTCTACTCAGTTGTACATGTTCAGTGCCACATTTAACAAGCACAATAGTAAATCAGTCACAGTTCCTCTCCAGTACTCACCATGGTAAGGCTGGGCACAAATGCTTTCCTCAGAGCCTCCTTTCTTCCAGATGTCAGATGTATTTGTGCTGGCTATGGCATATCCGTCCTTTAGAGTCAGCCTGTACTGGGAAGCACTATACAGAGAGTAGTGATCACACTTCCACCACAGCATGGCGTTAGAGTCACAGCTGAACATTCTCAGGGTGACTACAGGCTGGGTAATGTCTAGACCAAGGCACTTCTGGGATTGTAAGTGGAACAGCCGATGCTGGGACACCCACTTCCATCGCAGATCCCCAGTTTCCTCACAGTCCTTTGCCACTATCCAGTTATCCAGCGGCTTGATGCACTTGCCTGTGTTTTCACTGACAATGGTGAATGCATCATTACCTGGGCCAAGACAGTAAAAGAAGACATTTCAGAATTCTGAATTAGGCAGCCCTTACTGTTTATCGAAGAGCGTATGGGCACCACTGGACTGCTTCTACCCCAAGAGCTTGATCAACTATAATATCTACCCAAGAAAGGAGGTCAGTAATGGCCAGAGGAGGCAATGCAATGTGCATTGGAGCACAGGCTTTGGAGTCAGTCCACCTGGGCTCCAATTCTGCCTCTGTTTCTACATTTTTACCATGAGATCAGGGCAACTTATTTGACCTCCATGGTCATACTATTTTTGTGATGATGGAATAAGCTAATGCATGTAAAGCACTAACAGTAGTATGTATATTTGATTTTGCTATTCCATGAGAGGTATGCCCTATTTACTCAGTAGGGTAAGGATATTCTTTTGTTTTGTTACTTAACCAGGTAGTCTGTGGACAATGAAAAGATATTTTGAGTCTATTTGGGACCACACCTCTGTCTCACTTATATTTAGCCACTATGGCAGAGTATTATTATTACATGGGAAATGTCTCATTCTATGTTCCTTCCCCAGATCCAAGTATGAAGTCATGCCTCTGTGCTCCTTTACTTTAGGGCAAGTCAGTATGGTGAGGCACAAATAAAATCTCCTTAAAGGCCACCTCACCTAGACCTTTAGTAGAAGCCTGATTCATTGTGATGTCTCAGGGGAGACAGAGAAACAAGAGAGGGTAGAGATAGAAGAGTAAGGTAAATGAATAAGAGGGAATAGAGTTCTGGGTTTTGAGAGTGAGTGAGCCTATAGCCAGTGACAGGAAGCCTGCATCACATGCAGGAAGGTGGGAGAGAGTGGGAACTGACTTGTATGTCACCCTGAGTTCCTGAATCCTCCAAACCACCAGATTACAGCATGTTCAGATAATGAGATGCTAAGGTAAGACTGGTGGTAGTTGAAGACAAAGACCCTTCTCTGATCTTTTTTAGGAACTACATGCAAGCTAGGGAAGTTCTTGAGGATGGCAGAAACTGCAGTTTTGTCCACCTGATGGAACAAAAACCAGAATCAAATTTAATTTTTCTAAAAATAATGCATTATTTCTTGCACACTTGAATTTGTAGAACAAGTTCACATCTGATACAACAAATTAGAATAGAACAATTTGATTGAGTTTTTTTTTTACCAAGAAAAAAAATAAAACTTACATTACAAACCATCATGATAATGACAGTAAATTTGAGATATTTTAGAGAACAGAGTCAATGAGCCAGAGGTCAGCAGAACAACCTAAAAAACTTTGGTTTCCAAAAGGCACTTTCATTTTGATGCCTACTTCACAGTCACTGATCTTACTAACTGTGAACACTTAGTCTAATAATAATTCATAGTTTTAGAAGAGTTAAAAATTCTTATACTGGTGATGGCAACTTGATGATAATGTAAAAATAACTATGAAATTAAATCTGAGTTTGAACTTCTGATGGAAGTTTTTTGTTTTAAATAACAACAGCAGCAACAACAGGAAGAACAAAAATACTTTAAAGGTTTAAGTTAGTTCTGCTTTCAAATTTGAATTTTGGAACAGCTAGGTACATTTGATATAGTAGCATTCATCATTCATTCTCTTCATTGAAAACCCTCTGAATTTCTCTCTTTGTTGGTCATAGGTAAGGAGATACACGCTTTCCATATATTCTCTAACTTCCTTCATTCACACATTCAACAGCTCATCAGGCCTCCAATCACCTTTTTCCCAAACTATTTCCTCTTCCCTTTCCAAAATAAATCCTATGTTCCAAAATATCAGGAATTACAGCGTCTGCTCCTGCAAGAAATGTGGCCATCACCTTTGTTCAAAAACTTGAGCAGTCTGGCCTATGACCCATAACCCCCAACAGATGGCCTGCTAAACAGTAATTTTGCCTTTCTTTCCAAATTGAAGCTCCATATTTTTCAAGCTGCCTTTGTGCAGTCCAGGAGATTATTTACAGGTTTCAGTGTGATAGAAAGAATAGTGGCACAGGGAATGAGGGGCCCTTGATTGAAGACCACCTTTGCTTCCTGTTAGTAGGGAGAATTTGGTGAAGCCACCTTTTCTCCCAGGATCTTCCTTTGTCTAAATATTAGAAGAAAGCAGTGGAGAATAAGATATCTAAGTCACATCCACAAGACAACAGTGTTCTTAGCTTTGCAGGTTTTACCAGCTTTTGCTAAATTCATTGCATGTTGTTATACAATTTTGTTATACCACCCTACTGCTAGTAGTGTTTGAGATTATTCTAATCTCACTTGTATGGGGCATGTGCAGTTAGACAACAGCTTTAAAAATGCTCTTTAGAAGAGGAAAAAATGTACTCCTTCCAGTTTTCTACACATTTATTAATTCTGGGACAATATGGACTTCTCTGGTAGGAGGCAAACTAAAAGAAAGATATGGAGTAGCAAGGTTAAGAAGTTGCCAAGTGTCTTAACACCAACATCTGTAAATGTATATAACATGTTTTTGGTTTTTTGAGACAGTGTTGCACTGTGTAGTTCAGGCTGGCCTTGAACTCACTTTGTAACCCAGGCTCACCTTGAACTCATGGCAATCCTCCTGCCTCAGCCTCCCAAATGCTGAGATTACAGGCATATCCCATCATGTCTGGCATAACCCTGTGTTTGAACCATGTAATCAATACCAATGTTTGGTCACTCAGCACAGGTATTCATCATGAATACGGTTCAGGGAAACTTGTTATTGCTCTTCATATATAATGTATGTATAAACACTCATGCATAATAGACTAACTAGGGAGTCTTGTTCTGCCATTATGTTCCTCTGTATTTCTTTACTCTTAGCAGGTGCTGTTCAGTCTGTTTAAATCTTTTGGTCTCTACCAAGTGTGAAGAATGTGCACAGATGCAGGAGAGGAGGATCAGAACTGTGGATTCACTAGTTTGAAAACAGGTCCTGAAACAATAGTTGGGTCCCTGAAGATCACTAGGAGTCAAGAAGTCTCAAACTTGTGATCCTACTAGGATAGGAAGGATGAAGAAAGAATTTTTTCTAAAATTTAGAATATTTGTTATATAAGGAATAAGGCAATGTATTTTAGAAATATATTACATTTTTAAAAGGTAACTACACATTGATCTTATAAAATATTTTTATTGGTCACCTCATCACTCCTAGAAGCACTTTTTTGTGATTCATTTTATATAAATACTCCAGTGGTATTTGAGAGAGAATGGTTAAGTAGTGTTATCATAAATTGAAAGTGAAGTTTTAGTATTCTTACATCAAAGAAAAAGCATCCCTCTATATTGTACTATTGTCTGATCACTAGTAAATCTTGTTTTACAAGCCATGAACCAAAGAGTTCTGTAAGATGCTGGATACTGGCATCTTACGACCACAGACCAATGAGAAGAGAAATGGCTTGGGAAAGTTGTAAGGAAGAAGTATTGCCTTAGTATATGGTCACAGAGAACCGTCGCAGCTCATTCTTTAACTGTCTTGTGGTCTCCACCAAGTGTGCAGAGCGCACAGGTGCAGGAGTTGAGGATCAGAAGTCTGGGTTTACTGGTGTGAAAACAGTTCCCAAAGTGACAGTTGGGTCTCTGATGTTACCCTAAGAGTCAAAAAGTCATCAAAGCACAGACTGGGTATTTGGGTCCCTGAGAAGCTCAGAAGTCCTAAGGCATTAGCAGTTAGCTCTCCATGGCAGCAAAATTATAAACTAAGCACTTGGCATCTCCCCAAAGACACTAAAGTGCTCCTTCAGCATTTGGGTGACCAAGACCGCTTGCCTTCTCCTAGCTGCATCCACATGACAAGATGCACGCCATCACTAGCATCATGAAGCTGACACACTGCCAAACATGCTATCCAAACACCTGGGTGTTCAAAATTCCAGCAGTTTCCCTAATAAGGGTACAAATCTGGTCTGAGGGAAAGAGACCACCAAGAGCTGCTGTTAGGAGTAAGGAAGGATGCAGGGAAAGAAACGCCTGTGGTATGTAGGGCAGAGAGAAAAGAGTTGAGTCTGGTGCTGTTTGCTTTGGGTCAAGAAGACAGAACAGGGACAGCAGAGTTTGTAATAATTAAACTTTGAATTCTGTGATAAAGGTATAAGAGGACTAAAACAGACGTAGATGGAAACTAAGAGGCCAGGGGTGGAAAAGTTAGCTTGTTTCCCCTATAGTTAGCTGCTGCAGAGGTCTTTTTCCTTGAATTGTGGAGCACAACACAGCAATAAAGGACTGTATTGCTAATGGCTCTTTTGGGGTAGTTTCCAGCACAGAGGGTCAAAGGAGAATGGAGTTTTAAGTCAGACTATGGTCCATTAAAACGTTCTTGAAACAGACAAGACGATGCCACCCATTAAAACGTTCTTGAAGTAGACAAGATGATGCCACCCACACGCTGATAAACTCCTTTCCATAGCTCTCGGAAGACAGATTAAACCAGATAGTAATTTGGCTGCAAAGAAGAAAGTGCCACAGTAGATATTTTTCAAAAACTTCTTGGCCATCTTTTTCTTCCTCAAACAGGCACGATGAGAGAAGTTATGAATGGGGAAACCTATACATTGCCCATTTATGCAGGCAGGCCAAAAACAAAAAAATCCACCCCTCCACACACAAAAAACCCCATCAAAAGTCAGTCCTGGCACATTTTACCAAGGCACAAAGAGAAAGTAAAAGCAAAATCCAATTGCTGCTAAGGAGGATGGTTGGGCTGACACCACCTTTAGCTTTAACAAAAGGCTTTGGTGGCCAGTGAGAAGCAGTGGGTTCCCAAGCGAGCAACTGCGTGGCTCAGCCTCGCTGGGGTGGGGTGTCACCTGGCACCCATAATGAAAAGAGAAGAAACAGTCCTTATTCTCCGCGCTGGTGGAGAACATCAAAACCGACTCTTGGTCATAGCCGCTTGTGGAGACGACGTCTCAACCTGACTTCCTTCTTGACATGCACCGCAGGCACGTCAGGGACGCCAGGGATCCTGGGGCTGTGAGGGGCAGCTCGTCTTTGCCGCTGCGGGGCCTAAGTGACCGAGGGCGAGAGGGATCGAGGAGTGGCAGGTTCTCACCTCCACGACCGTCGCGGACGGAGGGAAGGGGCAGAAGACGCCCGGAAAGGCTGCGGCTTCTCTCAGTGCACGGCGGCCTCTGCCCTCCCACGCCCCGCCGCGCGCTCCCCTCCCGGCCGGCGAGGGCAGTGGGGCGCTTCGCCTACAGACCTCCCCGCCCGCCGCAGGCCCCTCCAGGGAGGCCACAGGGGCTGACGGGACCTGACGGGACCTGACGGGACCTGACGGACCTGGCGGAGGACGGGGCGCCGTCGAGGCCCCCAGCGGGCGGTTACCTGTGCGGTCCGAAGGCTGCACCAGCCCGAAGCAGGGGAGGAGCAGCGCGAGGAGCCCCGCGGCACGGCGAGGGGTCGCCCTGCGCGCCTGCATCCCGAGCCGCCCGGTCTCCGGCCCGCTCCGCCGCCGCAGCAGCGCCCACTCGCAGCGCGGGGGTCCTCGCCTTTACCCCGACCTCTGGGCGCGAGGCCCCGCCCCGCCCCGCCGCTCTCGGCCAATCAGCTCGCGTCTCAGCCGGCGCTGCCGGCAGGTGGGGCGGCAGGGGCTGGACGGGACCAGAAGGCGGGAAGTGAGCGTCGAGGGGGGACGGGGCTGCCACTCGCAGGCCCGGTCCTCGGGAGACCGAGCCCCCGCCTTGTCACCTGCAAGGTGAGAAGAGCTGCACTTGCTGGGAGCTGTCACCGCCCTGTTGAGTGGGTTCTGTCGGTTTCGCTCCTTGTCCTTTGCCTAGCGACCGCAATCACAGCTGACTTTTACCTACAGATGCTTACCTTGCCCGGGGCATCTGCGACCAAGGCCAAGCTGAAGAATTCAGCTGCCCTTGGCAACGTCCGAGGTACCTTGATAATGCAAACAAAGGTGGGATAATGGTAAACTGCAGTTTGACATGTAATTAAAGCAAGTGACTATAATACTTCTTAGGATATAATACTTCTTAGGATGATGTAGAATTTTTAACTGTTTGACAGGTGCAAGTAACAAGAAAATTTAGTAGAAATGTGGAAGTCTTCACACAGAATCTGAAATCGAAAGTCCCGTGTACACTTCTGGTAGACATAAGTAGGCCAGTTTCCTAATGAGCTGTGCTGTCTGGAAATGAACGGCCTATATTTTTAAGCTCTGTGGTCAGCGAGCATATGATGGGAACTTTGGAGCACCTCCATCCTGTTTCTTACGGTATTTCTATGAGGATGTGTCTAGGTTGCCTTTGCTGATTTCAGCTGCCAAGACTTCTGCAGTGGCTCCATGCCTCACCTGATTCTGTCATCTCTCCAGGCTCTGGTCTTCCAGATGAGTAAGAAGAGGAAATATGTACTTAACTGTGACAGAAACTGTGTTCCTTAAGAAAACAATGAATCAACAACGTCCTTTCCCTGCTAGCTTGCTGAGTGTTACAGTAGGCTGAATCTCACATAGTAACTCAAGGCAAAATGCATGAGAAGGTCAGACAAAGATATGGGTAGAGCAATATTTCAGCTGGGATCAAAGAATGGGTAGTGACTTAACCAGGCACAGTTGAGAGAAAACAAGTGATAACAGAATAAGAAAAAGGAAAGCAAAAGTAGAGAACAAAGTTCAGAGTAGCTGCGCTGCAGGTGTGTGTGGGTGTGTAACAGAGACAGACAGAGAGAGAGAGAGAGAGAGAGAGAGAGAGAGAGAGAGAGAGAGAGAGAGGTCAGGAAGAAGCACAGAAGCACAAGTTGTAGTTGTTTTGTGAAGGCCTGGCATAGGATACCAAAACGTTATTCTCTAAGGGAGGTCCTGCCACGGATGTGATCGCTTGTTTATCTTTAGCTGTTTGCCTTTCTTTCTGATCCTACCCAGCCTGGAGTCCTTGAAGAAAGTGGCCAGGTCTTATTTATTATTATGTCTCTCACACTGGGCTCAGGAGCTGCCCTGCAGTAAGCACTGTGCAAATTTTGTTTTAATTAATGAATGAATTTCTATATCCACCACTTTAGCCTAGGGCCATCTGGGCTCTTGTTTGAAATATCTTTTATTTTGGTAATTTCTCTGTTCATCTCATTGTAGTTACTGGCTAGGGATGCTCTCTGAATGCTCTGGGTTGTGTTATTGTTCTACTCAAGTCCTTTCAGGGCTATATGTTTATAGCAGTGGTTGCCAGCTAGAAGTTCAAAGAGATTGTAAACTCGTCAAACTGTACAAAGTTTGATAAACGCACTTTTTGTTTTGAGGGGGTGTTCAAGATTTGTGTGAGTCTCGAAGTCCATGATACAAAAAGAAAACTCAAAGATAAAATAAGTCTCACTGTCATCTGACCCTTGCTCCTTAATCCCCGTCCTGTACCCCTTTCTGATCATTCCAGCAAGCTGTCTGAACTTGTCTTGCACTTTCCCATCTCAACCCAGATACTCTTGTCCAGAGGGCTTCTTTGCCTCCTCCCTTGTCTCAGTACCAGCTTTCCCTTAAGTTTCTGCTCAGATTTCACATTTTATATAAATCTTTCTCTGAAAGACCCTTCAGATTACTTCCCCTCCAAACATCAGCATAATATTGCATATTTTGTTCACTTTGTCGTATATTCCTTACTGCTATTTTTATTCAATTTTTATTTTTATTGGTGCAGCATACATTGATAGTGACATGTATACTCATCCTTCACTTGGCTATAGAACCTCTGTATTTATTGTTGATGATGACAATAGAAATCAGTGTATCCTTCAGATCTCACTTTGAACGTCATTTTCTCTAATAGATCTATCTTTCTGGACTGTATTATCTAAGCAAACTTCGTTTTGACAGGTTCAAAAAACATCTCACACTTTTTCCTGATAGCATCTCTCTCTCTCTCTCTCTCTCTCTCTCTCTCTCTCTCTCTCTCTCTCAGCTGCAGACTCCATGAAGACATTAATTACATCAGCTTCATTGATCTTTTGTTTCTTGTATGTGGCATGATGTGCTGGATAGATAAATAAATAAGTGGCAATGCCCCATAAATGATGCAGGCATTGGGAGGTCTAGGAATTTAAAAGAAGGAGAATTGGGCTTGGGTAGGAGGGAGGATCTTCAGGTACTGGACTACATGTCCTTCAATGAATAGCATCTAGTAGATTGAGACAGGTGGGGAGGACACCATAAACTGAGGCAGTGGTGTGAATGAAATGATAGATATGTGGAAACTAGGACACAATAAAGCTAATAATTAGAAAAGTAGACATGATATAACTTGCATGGGGTGTCACAGTGCTAATAATTTTTTTTATTATTAGGGCAGAAGGGGGAAATGACCTTATAGGACTTCTAAAATTTTTTAAAACTAAAAATATACATAAAAATGTGTCTACAATGCGGGCCTCTCTTTGATTATATCCACCTTACTTGCATGCAGACATTACTATTCCTCTGAATGATTTAGTGTTCCTTTTACATTCCTTTTCCTGTTCTTTTCTCTGTGGTTTGAAATCAAGGCATCATGTATGTTAAGCACATACTGTACCACGGATCTGCCCCAGCCTATTTCTTTCTTTATAGTTTTCCTATGTGTGATTTACTCCTTAAACATTACATATAAGTTTCATATTTTTGAATTTTATGTAAATGAAATCCTTTTAAAGTTTTGTTTGTTTTTGTTTCTCCAGTGCTGGTGATTTAGTCTAGGACCTCATGCCTGTTAGCAACACCCTGCAGCTGAGCTGTATCCTAGGGGGTTTTCTTTCTTTCTTTCTTTCTTTCTTTCTTTCTTTCTTTCTTTCTTTCTTTCTTTCTTTCTTTTTCCTCTCAAAATTATGACTATGACACTCATCTGTTTGATATGGGTGGTTGTAGTTTGTTCTTTTTCATGATGCAGCATTTTGTTCTAAAATAAAACATTTCTCTTCTTGGTGGATACTTAAACCGTTTCCATTTTATTGGCTTGCTGTCCTTAACAATTTCTGTGAACATTTTTGTAGTTTGTCTTCTGGGACATGGTGTTAAAATTTCCAGAGGGTATATTCCTAGAAGCAGAATTCCTGGGGAAGTAGGTTTAGCATCAACATTATTAGACAATACCAATGTGTTTTCTAATTTATGTTCCTACTGATGTGTACTAGCACTCTCACTGCTAAACATTTTCATCGGGGCTGGGGATTTAGCTCAGCAGCATAAGTGCCTGCCTTAAGCAGGCAGTCTTGAGTTTGATCCCCGGTACCGATAAAAAGACAAAAACAAAAAAAATTTTTTTTCATCAGCATTTGGTGTTTAAAAATTTCTGTGGTTTAAAATTGCACTTCTGTAATTACTAACGAAGTGGAAAACTTTTCCTAAGTTTATTGGTCATTTGTATCCATTTTCTCATTCTTTTTTTCTTTTAGAGATAGGGTTTTACCATGTAGTTCAGACTAGTCTTGAACGCACATTGTAGGCCAAGCTGGCCTCAAACTCACAATGACCCTCCTGCCTCAGCCTACCAACTGCTAGAATTACAGACGTGTGCCACTATACCTGGCCATTATGCCATTCTTGAACAGGTTGTTTGCCTATTTTATCTAAGGTCATTTTCTACCTTTCCCTGTTTTGAAACCCAATGTCCTACCCTGAATTTCCAAGACTCCCTTGAGCCAGTCCTGGTTAGGGTCTGGTAATGGGAATGTGTGACGGAAGACAGATCTTGGTGGGGGAGAAGCCAGGATACTTACTCTCTCTTCTTTGAGAGCGTGTCATGGAGAACCTATGTCTTTTGTGGTTTTGACTCCTACCTGGAAACCCTTCCTTTTGTGCTCCAGTTCCTACGGGGCAGCCTCATTTGTACCTACAGCTACTTTTGGGTGTTCTCTAAGGTTTCAGTTCCCACATGGTATCTCAGCCTTCTGTACTGATAACATCACCCTTTTCCTGCCCCCCTGGCAACTTGACTGGCAGTAACTTCTTGTAGTTGTTGGTTTCTGAGTGGCTTCATTAGCACTGATTTTCAGCTCTTCCAATATTTCTATAATAGTAACTTCCTTATGTTAAAATTCTTTCATTGAACTACCTAGTATGTATTTTGTTCTTACTCGACTTTGATGATACTGATGTAACATTAGAATGGCACCTTGGGACTCACCAAGTTGAGATGTGAACAAGAAAAAGTATTTCTGAAGCAGATTTGGCTGCCTGAAGAACTGTGTTATGCAGAGAGCTAGTATGGGATGCTTTTAAACTGTGGTAATGATGATGTCCACAGATGGTCCCAGGTGTAATAAGGAGGACTCAGGAGACTCAGATAAGGACTTACTCCAAAAATAACTTTAAAATAATTCCCACTGCATCATGATAATAAAGATCTGCTTTTAGTCTGGGTCATAACTAAACTCTTGAGGATTATATCCACAGGCATAGGTAGACCCTAAAGGTTTTGCTAAAAAACAAAAACAACAAAATTAACTCATCCTGTTGGAATAAACTGAACTTCCTCCACAGGCTTTAAGGTGTAGATATTTCATTTGAGGAAATGCTCTGCAAAGCTCTTTATAGAG